TCCAATTAAATCTCCAAACATCATCATCATCGTCATGTCCCATATACCTCATCCAGCACCATAGATACCTAGTTCCAACTTCCTCGTCAAACCTCTTCCCCCTCCTCGTGCTCCTTGCCCGGCAACGACTTTAACAACTTGGTCGTCCCCCTCGCCACACCCCTCTCCCCCGCCGTCATTACCCTCGGCGCCTCCCTGATCTGCTCATGATGATGATAATCATGATGATGATGATGATGATGATGATTCTCGTAAAGCGGACTCTGCGGGACTCTCCCCCCATCATGCTGCGCCCGAAGATCCTCCTCGTTGGCCTGCGTGACCGTGACGCTGATTTCCGTCGTCTTCATGACCGTACCAAAGTACGACATGGCCTGCCCGATGTGACCACCACCACTATATTCTGTGCCGCTGCCACCGCCGCCGCTGCCAGGCTTGGGGATCAAGGACTCCTGGGAATCCCGTTCTCGCGGTTTATTTTCATGTGGTGGTGGGAGGGTGCTCGAAGCCACACTATCGCGGGCTTCCAACGACAACGACAGGTCTCCACCATGAACATGTTCGTCGTTGCTGTGGCCGCTGCTGGCAATACTACTCCCAGCAGTATCCGTGCGGATGACGATACCCGCCTTGTTATCGCTCCCTGCCTCGGCGCTGACGCCGTACTGCGGGTAGCTTATACTCCCCCTCTTATCATTCATTGTTCTCTCAGCAAACGAATTCATCGTCGCTGTTGTTGTGCTTCCAAAACCAGGCTTCATTGAAGAAACAGTCTTCCTATCCCTGCTAGAGCTCCCATACGTATTGTTGTATGCAGTCTCCGCCCGCGAGAAATTGCCATATCCATGCTGCTGCTGCAGCTCATGCTGATGCTGCGGCTTGAACTTTTTCTTTTTTGGTCCCGTGTCGCGCACAAACGTGCCCAGCGCAATTGCGTTGTTGACGAACGTAGCCACGAGAATCTCCGTGCTGGCCCACATGGTCCGCGTGCCCTGGTATCCCCTCTCTGACAGGATGTTGGGCACCCGGTACAGCGTGATGCAGACGGTGCACAGCCCTAAACAGAAGAGGGAGACCAGCAGGATTTTGCGCTTGAGCTTGATGCGCGATTGGATCAGGATCGGGATGGGGAAGACGACCAGCAAAAGATCGGTCAGGACGCTGCTGGCTGCTACGACGAGGAGATGCGCGTAGGACTGGCGGCATTGGCCGCCCGGGTCGGGCATGACTTGCCAGTAGTGCGTCACGGGGAAGCATTCGGAGAGGTTGCTGATGAAGCAGGCGACAAAGGTGCAGCCGATGGTGATTTGGAGGAAGCGCAGCGTGAGGTTGTACTTGGTTCGACCGGCGGTGCCGACGAGGCGGTTGAAGAAGAGGAGGGTGATGGATTTGAGAGTCCATAGTCTGTGTCGTGACTTGTTAGTCTTTCTTGTTTTTTTCACCAACAACACTTGAAGAAGTAGGGAATAAAAATTGGGTTGGACCTACGTAGTAAAGTAAAAGAAACGAGTAGCCAAAACAAGCTTGCTTCCGACTACACGCCTAGCGATGGCCTGCTCAGACAGGTGCAGCCCTTCTTTGTTCACGAGCTCGACGTTGTTGGTGCCGTATAAGAGAAGCACATGCACACATGCGACTCGAAGGTACATGGGGATCAGGGCGAGAGCGGCGATCTTGTCCTCGAGAAACAGCTTTTCCATGCGCACATAGCGCCCAACCACACGGAGAATGATGACGACGGTGCAGAAGAGGGTGAGCCACCAGCTCACGAGCAGGATGGGCTTGTCGTCGCTGAACGGCCGCAAGGCCGGTGGGTCCGTGTAGATAGACATGTCTGTTGGTTTTGTGTAGTTGTCTTTTATAAAGTGTGGTTATGGCATAGTTATTAGAAATGATCGTCGGTTGTGTGAGTGGCTGTCAGATATGTATGGTGGTGGTGATAGTGTGAGGGAGTGTCGAGCCGTTGGTGGGTAAGGTAGGTAAGGAAAGAAAAGACCAAGTTTGGTTTGTCCGTATGTGATAGTGAGGGCGTGTATCAGGCTGTGTAAGTCCAGTCGTCAAGTCCACGCTCACAGACAGTGAGCCAGAAGAGGCCTAGTAAATTGAAGATGACAGACGACCATGGCTGTTTGACCGGCTGAAGTGTTGAGGAGTGTCGGAAGGGAACTCTTCGCTTCCGAAGCGAGTTGCATTTGTCGATGGTGGTCAGGTTCGAGAAGCCCGAGTACACTGGAGATTTCCTCCAGACCCAAGAGCCAAGTATGTAATCACCAGCGCTAGAACCATTCAAATAGAGTCACATTCTGCATGCAATGCTCATCCAGAAAGGGTTGTCTAAGCCGGGTTACCAAAGACGGCTTGGTTTGCACGAGTCGAGTCCTTCTCTTGCATCGGGCCTGTGACTGGCTGGACCCATCCTAACCCGATGTTCCCTAGCTATTTCCCTTTTGGCCTATCTTTGCAGTTGAAAGGCCTCCTAGCATCGAGCCGGCGCCAAGCCCCCGGTCATGGTGACTGGAGTCCAGCCCACACCCCCATGCTGCCATCTGAATGGTCGCCGCAACTCCATGATGTGCGTCGAGGTGGTAGTGGACATGAACATCGTGACGATTTGCGTTCCACAGGATCTTCATGTTTTGCGGGAATTATGGCTTTTTTTTTTTGTTCGTTCCGTTCTTCTCGTTCTTTGTGGTTTGGGTTCCTGACATGAACTAAACTCTTCAAGTCCCTGTCTTTGCATCATGCATTCCCGTGTTGCTTGACTCGATGCAGTGTGGCTGCATTGATGATTTTCCAGAGTGGTTCCGGGTCTCACCCAGGAGCATCGGGGTAACAATACTACCTGCCCCTGCGTTTTAGATGACCTCTCTACTGTGTACCACACATAGAAAGTGTCTGGATTTTTGGTGGTGGTGGTGTTGGTGGTTCGGGTCCGGTCGGAACGCCTCCCGTCGTCGTCGTTGTTGGCTCTGCTTTGATAGTAGTCATATATGGCAGCGGAGATTCGACCAATACCGTACCGTGCCTGATTGACTGTCCTGAGAGATGTCCAAGCCTCTACACTAGAATACCGTCCGTCCGGATGCGAATAAAACGACCGATGTTACGCCTGGCGTGGTTTTTCTTTTTTCTTTTTTTGGATTCCGTTCCGAGAACAGTGTTGATTGAGGCCGTGATGCAGTTGCAGTTTGAAGGCGCTCTAGGCCCCTTCAGAGGTTAGCATTCCGAGTACCGGAAGGCAGCAGCACATCACATTGTTCTGCCGAGTGCCGGATCGTCATTTCGTCGGCGGAAGGGAGTCAATCAACACGCAGTTCCAAGCGCACGGTTCAGTTTTGGTGCCACAAGAAGGCCCGACGACTGCACGTCTAGTAGTGTACTGTATGCCACTATTGAGAGAGGAAGATAAGGGACATTAAGTGGCAATTGAAGCGAAGCGGAAGCAACGAAGGAAGCGAGCTGTCTGCTCGTCATCGGGCTGAAACACCAAACGTGGAAAAGACGCAAAAGTGAAAATGGAAAGACGCCATCAGGGCGCAGCAGGGGCACCTAACCCCACGAAATGCCCACCCGCCCCCCCGACACTGGAAAGGACTCCACGCGGCCCGGGGCACCGGGGGAAGGTTCACAGCTGACAGCGCCGGTAGCCCCAGCACTGCCAGCGGTCAAAGCACTACCTACCTAGTGTACACCTCACTAATAAACCTCAGGTCCGCTACCTATGAATATAGCAGGGGCCAAGGACAGTCCACACTCCCCGCGTTCAGCATGGCTCAGGGCAGCTCCGTATCAGACCCGACATGGAAGCGCCGCCGGGCAAACAAACAGGGGACGGGGACGGGATGTGTCAAGCAACACACTAACACAAAACACACAAATGTTATCGCTAACACGCGATTCTTATCGCTCGTAATCTCGCAACACAGGAACCGAACAAATCTCGGCCGCCCAGCTTTTGCAGTACACTAGTATAGTGGCTTCCTCTCTACATGTGGACGCGGGCCGATGCAATATCAACGAACCACCACAGCCTCATCAATAGCGTCGGTGTCAACGAGGGTCGAGATCAGATTGGAGTTGAGGTACCTAATATGCCCGTATGTAGGTACATGAACCTGATCGTCAGGGTCTGGTCCATGAGGATGAGGATGAGGATGATGGTCGCAGGCATTCCCCAGGATTTGGAAATTGAAAAATCAAATGTTTTTTGTTTCTTCGCCTAGAGGAACGGAAAAGAAGACATTGGGCGGGCGAGATGAAGCAGTCGAGTTCGAGTGCATGTCCTGACCTGGCCTGGCCTGGCCTGGCCTTCAATGATGTTGAAAGGTAAGTGCTGCTGACAGATTGACTTGACAGGAGTGCCGCATCGTGTGCCATTTGTCCATGCCATACCTATCATCATGGAAAGGAACACACAGTCAACGATGATACATAGGTACATTGATACTATGGGGAGTTCAGATGGAGCGAAGGAGTGCGATGACCACCTCATGGATATTCAAACATTGCTTTCAAGTCGACTCAAAGACCATATAACCACCCGCTGGAAAGTCAAACCATCCACCCCGACAATTCTAGCCCTCGGGGGTTTGATATACGAAGTTTTTCGTGTGACTGAGCGGGCAAGAAACAAAGAAATGGAACGATAGAGGAAAACGTTTAGAAGCGATCACCAACCATTCAATCATATTTCAAAAAGAAATCCGGACCTACAAGCAAAATAGTCATACTTTATAACAAAACACGCTCCCATCTTGTCCATAATTTTGGAAGACGGGAAGAAAATTGGACAGAGGAAGAAAGGCGTTGGAAAAGGAGGGAAAAAATTGAGACTTGTTATTAACAAGATATAAAGGAGAATAAAAAAAGTTAAACAGATTTGATCCGACCCAGGCTCGATCTGGGGACCTTCAGTGTGTTAGACTGACGTGATAACCAACTACACCATCGGACCTGTTGCTGTTGAATTTTAAAGCACGAACCTCTTGCTCATGTAGTCATGACTCGTGGGGAACGGTATCCCAGCTACAAAGTCGCCACTGCATCGAGGACCACGGCTCGGGGATCAATCATCAGGTGCGCGAGCGAACGAGGAGATCTGCTGTCGTGATGCGCCGGAGGTATTTGCAAAAGCATAGCATCATGTTCATTCCTTCGTATATACCTTGTCATCCATCATCGTCTTGTACCCAAATGTCAGATCTCTCATCATATCCCTCATATCCCACATGTCCAAACCCGTATCATTTCCAAAAACCCTCATCAGTCATCATGTCTCACTCAAGTCACTCAAAAACACTAACAGCCCCCAACCCCCCGGAAACCGCCTTCACCCTGCTCTGAATCCTCAGCGGACTCCCTTCAAACACCACAAAGTGGCCCTCCTCGACCTTGGGCTCCTTAGCCCCCAGAATCTTATACACATTCCCACTCACCAACTCCAGTGCGCTCTTCTTGCTCAACTTTCCACCGCCATTCGCATACGCAATACCCGCCAACAATCCCAAGTCCCTAACCAGCCAATCCTCCTCCAATCCGATCGCCGTGGTAACACCAGCATCGAGAAGCACGTCGATAGCCGTGCCGTTGGTCAGCGGAGCGCCCGAAAGCGCGCGGCGCTGGTCCCACGAGGTGGCGAACGATTGGAGAGGGGCAAGAACGACGCCGACTTGCGCGGCGGCGAGCTCCTCGGCGACAAGGTGCGATTCGGCGCCGCCAAAGATAGCGAGGTGGATCTTACTGGAGGTGAGAGACTCGACGTCCTTCTTGACGCGCAGGGCTGCCGCGATGATGTCGGCGTTGTGGATGGTCAGGACGAGCGGGAGAGAGCCGTTGACCACCTTTTGCAGGAAGGTGGACTCGGAGTACAGGTCGGCCGGCTCGATGGTCTCGTTCTTCTTGAGCTTGGTGGCGGCTTGGAGAAGTTTGCGGCGGAGGGCGCCGACGGCCGCGGACAGAGAGGGCGTGCCCTCGGCTTCTTTGGCGTCGGGGTTCAGGCTATAGTGGACGGCGACGTCGCTGGCAAAGATGGTGCCATTGGCAAGGGGGTTAGTGGCACCTGTGAGGAAGCCGACGCTCGTGCCGTGGTGGGTCTGGCCGCCGTTGAACTTGGGTGCCGTGATGGCCTTGGTGACGCCGTACTTGTAGGCCGCGTGCAGCTTCTTGGTGTCGAGGGTGAGACCGTCTTCGGCACGGGTAAAGACATTGACGTTGTCGCCGTTGTCGGTGGAGTCTTCGGCGTCGATGGCGTTTAGGCCGATCTGGGAGCCAAAGGCCGTGAAAGAACCGGTAAAGTGACCGTCCTTGAGCTCAATGACAGGGATCTTGGAGGTAGATGCCATGCGCACCTCCTCGGCACAGGCACCGACGCAAGTGACCTTGCCGTTGCGAATGACGGCGCTGTAGGATTTTGCGTCCTTGCTTCCGCCCTGGACCTCAACGTCACCAAGAACATTGGTGATGCCAGTGAAGACAACCGAGTCCATGTCAACGGGTTCCTCGACAATGGCAGAGGTGCTCTCCTCCGAAAGGATCAACTTGGGCACGGTCTTGTTCAGCACGATAGGGTGCTCGTACTGGGCAGTCCCGTCGATCCACACCTGCACAGGAGTGGCGCCCACCTCGAGAGGATCACTGTCCCAGACAACGACGTCGGCGTCAAATCCAGGCTTGATCTTGCCGAGTCTGTTGCCAAAGCCGAGACGCTCAGCCGGAGCGGTGGTTACGGAGGCGAGAGCAGCGTGGTAGGGCAAGCCATACTTGTGGCCCTTGGCGGCCTCGAACAGGACGTGCTGGGCGTTGAGAACCGGGTTGTCGCTGACATAGATGGGGGTCAAGTCGTTGTCCCAGAGGTACTTTCCAGCAAACTCGGAACCGACGTAGGACTCGGCCTTGTAGTACATGTTATCGGCAAAGATGGCAGAGGCAGGAGGGTCACCACCGTAGGCGCGCTTGAGGATCTGTCGTCCGTTTCGTCAGCAACAGAATAGCCTGATAGTCTTGTTGGCTCTATGACTTACCTCGGGAACCAGATAGGTCTGATGGGCATGGTGGAAGGCCCGGACCTTGAACTTGAACTCGTTGGTGTGATCGACAAAAGCCTCGAGATCGGGGATGGTGTAGCAGTGAGTGTTGAGGTGAATTTGTCCGCGCAACAATGCGCCAAGCGACTCCCACTTCAATTCCTGGGGGAGATATCCCTTCATGTTCTGCACACCGACTGCGGTGGCGGCATCACACCAGTCATCCTGATCGCGCACCAACTTGGATGCTTGCTCAAAGGCGTGACGGAACTCCCAGCTCTCGCCCATACGGCTGGTAGGGCCTTGCTCTCCGACCCGCCCGTAGACACGCTTAGCGTTCTCACCGCAGGCCATCTTCATGAACCTCCAGTTGCGTTCGGGATCAGCCAGCATGTCGGCGGCACTGGTCTCGTTACGACCGTCAGGCTTACCAACAGCCAGCTTGATGGCGTATGCCTCACCACCCATGTTGTTGCCCGAGCCAGGCAGGACCAAGCTGGTGGTGACACCGCCAGACTTGATGACCTGGATCTGGTGGTCGTTGGGCTGGATGCCATCGATGGAGCGGACAAAGGGGGTGATGTCCGCCGAGAGCTCGTTGGTGTCTTCGTTGCCGTCAAGACTAGGCAACGAGTCTACGCCGGCATGGCTGTGCATATCAATGATGCCAGCGGTAAGGGGACGGCCCTTGGCGTCAAAGACGTGGGTGCCCTTGGGCAGACTGGAGGCGGCGATGTCAGACTCGACCTTCTTGATGAGGCCATACTCGAGGTAGACGTCGGCCTTGATCCAGCTGTAGCCCTTGCCCTTGCGCGCATCGGCAGCAGAGGTGCCCTTGGCCGGCTCTCCAACCCAGACAGTCGCGTTCTTGATGAGGGTGGGGGCATGGCCATCGATGTAGCGGGCGTTCTTCTCGCGGCCCTCGCCGAGGGGGTCTTGGGGTTTCTGGCGCAGCTTGGAGCAGGTGGTGAGGTCGTCGTGCAAGCGTTGCACCGACAGGCCGTGGACCGTAACGTTGCCGTTGACGGGCTCAGAGCGCGAGGGCAGCTGTCTCCACTGGGCGTAGGCGATGAAGCCCATGCAGGCGACGGCGAGGAACTTGAGGCCTCTGGACCGGCGCATCTTCTTCCTCTTCCATGCCGGAGGGGGAGGTGCTACGGCGGTGTACGGGGGCAGCCCGCCGCCCTTCTCGTCCATTGTTGTGGTCTTGAGGTGTCTTGTTTTTGTTGATGGGTGAAACCTTTCCGGCCGTTGTCTCCCCACGTCGTGACTGTTACAGAGTGGTGGACAAGGAGGAGGAGGTTGGAAATTGGAGGAGGAGATTGAATGGAGTTCCGACTCGTGGGAAAAAGGCCCAACTTGTAGCACGTGAGGGGCGCTACAGCTACCTGCAGATCCTGAGGCCGTGATGATGCGACACGCGGACAGCTCACCTTGGAGGTCCAAACAAAACAACAAAAGAAGGAGCTCAACTGTGACGGAGGAGTACACAAAGCGGGGGAGGGAGCTCACCGAGTTGGCGCAACGCCATTGGCCAATCCCAAAACCAGGTACCCGCTCGTCCCATCCTGGCCGATTCGTCATCCAATGGCTGACTGCGAACAGGACCCAATTCGGAAGGTGCGCGGGTCTCGGCATTGATAATGCTTATGCCAGCGATTATCGTGAGCTAACAGTTTCAGTGACAGTAAAGGTGAGAAGACGTTAGTAGAAGATGGGCTTTTCAGTAAGGCACCTTATGCCTGGGCACAACTTTTGTAAAGTTTGCGATAACCTCACTTCATCCATCTCCAGTCGCATTTCAATTTGTCACCAGTCAGACTGGAATTTCTCGATATGTAAGTATGTTCACCACACCACGGCAGTCCGACTTGTACTTTGACCTTCCGAAAGAAATCAAGCAGTGCTTACGACTCTGACTCAGCTACCTTATCATGGATGACGACTGCCAGGCACGGCGTCTCGCGGTGCAGCCAAATGATGTTTACCTTGCGGCGGTGTGACGACGACAATGTTGAAGTCTTACGGCGCACCACATATCTACTAGTCTACGTCTCTCCCTACCACGGAGATGCGGCCCGGCAAATTCAAACCTCTCCCGTGACTCAGCTCCCCGTCGATGAACGAACTACACTGTGATCAAGATCCAGAGCCAATCGCCACCCAGTGCCCTCGAGACGCTAACTCTGTTCGAGGCTCTTTCTATCTGCTGGGTTGATTTCCTAAATACGGCCCGGCAAATTAAATCATTGGCCAAAGACAATGGCGACAGACGTCCACGATACAGGCGCACTTCGTCTCACCGTCTGCCTCAGGAAGCGCCCCTTGTGTGCGTTGGTAGTACCTCTGGCTCCGATACTCTTCCTGGTCCTCATGACAACGGACGGTGAACTGCTCGTCTTACATAGTTCAAACATTGTGCTATCCTCGGTTTCCCCCTTTCACAACTCAGCGGCAATTCCTTTGAGGAAACACAGTGAGACTCGAGCTCAAAACAGATGGATGGGTACTCGCCGTCTGTGAACCCCCATCAACAAGCTCTCATTCTCATACGGTTGTACGAATGGATAGACGAGTGTTTATCTGGCCTACATACCGTCAGCTGCTATCTCAACTTCTTCGCGGCTGTGGTCACAAAGCTTCAGTCAAGGAAAAGAGAAGGGAGAGAAGCTTTTACCACCCTTTCTGCTCAGCTGGATCCCATCCAACACTTGCTCATCAAAATAACCCAATGAGATACGACAACAAAAATGTCCTCACTTATCACCACCCAAATCCTCCTTGCCAGCTGTTTGTGGTGCAGCTTGACCTTGGCCTTGGCCCCACCGAAACGTTCTCCTCAAACAGACATCTTGAGCACAAGGTCCAAACCACCCGCGCTTCAATCATCATGGAACATTATGGGCGCTCTCTTTCCCTGCGTTTTGATCATCATTGCCGTCTACTTCCTTGCCGAACGCTGCTACGTACGGGTAAATCGTGGCTTTGACCAGGTCGAAGCTCCCCAATGGACCTCGGCAAACTTGGGTGAAGACGGGTATGTCCGAACAAAGATCTTTGGTTTTCTGAGCGTTTCACCCACTGACCTAGCGTCACTATTCCCAGCCCTGACTACCAAGTCATGTGGTTATCAAATTTCCTGGGTGTGATGGTGACCCGTGATAGGGAGATTGTCGGTATGGCTCGTCGGCAACCCCCCGAAGAACAAAGTTCGTTAGGGATAAGCGTCACCTCCACCTCGTCAGCTTCATCAAATGCGGTACCAGTACCCCCGACGGTGTATGCCTGGTGATGGCGAGCTTCAGCCGGAGTCGAACCGAGGTGGAGAGAGCAAGGGGGTGATACCCGATATTATTCATAGTGTGGATGGCAGGCCAACAACGTCATCTGCACTATGACGGAAGCATTGGGTTCTTCGCCTGTTACAGTCTACCAGATACGCGAAGTTGGTCAATTCCACAATCTGGGGCCAACAGCAACTCTTCAACAACAGCACTTGTCCCAACCACGGCATCGACCTCACCCCAACCCGATAAGATGTCTATTCCAACCTCGTCAAAAACCACAAAGTGACTGACTTCGGCCTCAACGTGAGACTTGGCGGCAGCACGGACCAGGAAAGACGAACAAGCCAATGTGATGTTCAGTGTACCTTCAAGCAAGTGTAAAAGTGGGGGTCCCTAAGCGTCCCAATCGACTCCGAAAAAACGCCATGCAGGGCCATGCAGGGCCATGCAAGCGAGGAACCTTGTCCATCTATCTGAGCGGGCTCCGCGTCGACGAAGAGACGACGACAAGATAATTTTGGTGGCCCACGCATCAACACAGTTTAAAGGGAAACCGAGCTTGAAGACTGTGCTGCATGTGGTGTACATATGGCAAGGCCAGTAATTGCTCGAAGCGACTTGCAACGTGCAAACCTGACAATAGACACGGTCTGTCTCGTCCAACCTCTTTTTGTTCCACCTCGTATCTTCACTCTTTTGGGCTCCTGCCTTAGCCTTATCCGTCAAAGATCAGCGTGTGCCACACAGAGACGGAAATGAGCGTGGGTGACGAGGTGCTCTGCGCCGACCCTTTCCCCGTTGAGACTGCGTGATCGGCCTTGGATCACTGATGGGATCAGCTTCGGATCTGCCATGACCTGTGCGCTTCCCGCCCAATGCTGTTCGCCCTACCCTTCGTCGTGTCTTTCGGACAAGTCCCACAAGCCCTCACAGAATGCGACCAGGACACGCGACGCAGCTTAATGCCATCCCAGTCGAAACACTGTTTGAAGTGCACCGCCAAGTTGCAAACAGGAGCCGAAAAGACCGGATAAAGTGTCCTTGTCCCTTTTGTTATCTAGCGCGCGGAGCTTGTTGGCGTACACTAGACTCGAGGCCCCCGGAAATTGTCTCTTCATCAGCCAAGTCAGCCCGCTGCAACGCCGGGCTTTCTGTTCTGCACAGTCTCGCCGACCAGATATCGTCTTTTTAAACCGCGGAGAGTCCGCCCTGCTGCCGCCGTGGCTATGATCAAGAACTTGGATGTGATACTGGGGTCCAGGGTAGCATCGTCGTCGTCGAGCTCGGGGTGCCTCATGGCCAGTGTGGCCCCTGAATTATCGGTGCCAAGCGGGAGCTCGGGGAAGTTGAAATTGGGGGCAGATTGCGCTATCCCGCCCTGGGTATAGCGCCAGGTACAGACCTCCATTCGACAAGGGCCGTTCCGTCGATCTTTACCGAACCTAGGGATACCAGTGACAGGGCTCAACTGCTCAGCAACAGAGGGCCAATGTGCAGTCCATGCATCAAAGACTGTACTGCCGTTGCTTTTCCCCCGGCCCACGACTTCCATGATTCGTCGACGTTGAGCTCGGGAGGTAACGGATGTGACTCCTGGTGAAAGATCCGGGTTCTATACAGGACCTGATTTCATTACTTCTGAGCTAGTATAACTCTTGCTAGTGTCCATGATCTCCGATCCACGCTACCAAATGCGTCTCGTCTGTTCTTTTTCTCTCTTCTCTGTTCCCTAACTTCATCCCACTCTGCAACAGATCCCTCCACTCGTTTGGGATGTCACTCGTTTGACACCAGCAAAACATTCGCTATCAGCATATCCAATGACCAGCGGACAACTTCGACGAGATATCAATGTCCACATATCACACTCTTTGTGATCTGAACGGCACCGAGACCAGCCAGACGATGGACAATCAAGATGGGTTCGAACATGGCTTGAAAAAGCGGATAATCCAGGAAGTCTTTGACAAGCTTCTGAGCCCATTGTGCAAGGCCTTTCCCAAGGCACCAGGTTGTCCTACGCCAGAAGAGCCAGTGGAGGCGCCGCCGCAGTCAACAACGCCGACAACAACGCCGACGACAACACCGGCACCGGCCGCAACTTCACCTCCCGCAGTTATAGCACCACTTCCAGCCGCAACAAAGACTCAGCCCGCGAGTCCTCCCGTTGTGACACAGCCACCGGTAGTGGTAGCACCGCCAGCCACTACTGCTCCCGCAGTCGTGAAGCCCTCGTCAACCAGCATCACGCCGCAGCCAACGAAGGGAGCTGAACAAGGGTCAGGATCGAATCATGGAACTAAATCGGGTGAAGGATCTGGACAAGGTAACGAATCAGGAAGTGGCTCTGGTTTGAATGGTGCGGATAAGGGTAATGCCGGAAATGCAGGGACTGATGGATCCAACTCTGGCAAGGGAGCCACGGGACCTGTCGGATCTGATAACGACAACAACACCACCGTTCCACCATCGAGCATGACTTCGGATACGACTGCAGTACAGCCCACGGCTACCTCAGCCAGCTTTGATGGGAATGCATTTTTTCCTGGGAACGTTGTTCTCGCCGCCCCAATGGCAGTCCCAAGTCAGTCATCCGAGTCGGGCGAAGATACGGTTGGGGATGGTACCTCGGGGGATGGGGATAATTGGGCGCAGGGTTCTCAGCCTTCGGCCACATCCTATAACTCAGCAATTCAACATAACGGCCAAGCCATTTCTACAACGCTCTCCACTGCATGGATCGCCGCAGGCACTCCAACAAGCATCCCATCAGTAGAAAGCACCATCCCTGGGCAAGCATCTGGATCTGATGACCCTTCACGGGGCAACCCAGACCTTTATCCTACCCCCGGCTCAACTCACACGCCAGCGGGTGGAGGCTCAACCACAGGAAATAGCGACAGTCCCGCTGGGGACTCGCCTAATACCAGCAGCACGGGTCTTGTATCTGGTATTGCCGGTGGTGTCATCAGTAAGTCGGACCATCAGCCATTACTCCCCAAGAACTTATCACTAACATTCATCTCCCCCAGCCATTGTGGTCCTCTTCTTTGTTCTGTTCCTTCTCCTCTACAAATACCGCCGCAACGCCCGCGTCCAGAACTTCCTCATCAAGTACACCCCCCTGAAAGTAGCCGCCTACACGAAGCGTGACAAGAAGCGATCCTCGATGGGCAAAGGCCTGCTCCTCGAGGACGAGGAGCCATCATCACCCACCATGACCGAGAAAGGGAAGAACGTCAACTACGGCACCATCCTGCCCGCCCCCGTCACGCAACCCAACCCCACCGCCAGCCGCGCCCCTACCAAAGCCATCCCACCGCCCGGCCTCGACACAGCTCACGGCCTCAGGTCCCCGACGCCCAATGAAAACCGTCACAGCATGTTCGAACGCGTGTCCACCAGCATGTCCGATTACTTCCCGCAACCCCCCTCGCCGACGCACTCCCAACACTCGCGCGGCAACAGCGTCGAATCGCTCGGCGGCGTCAGTATTGCTAGCAGCGGCATCTTTTCCGCCTCCATGCTGCCGCCTTCTACTGCCTGCAGCAACAGTACCGCGTCCTGGGCGTTGCCGCCGAGCACGTCGCATAGTCAGGCGATGCAGTTTCAGCCGTTGCAGCCGATGCCGATGCCGATGAGACAGTCGGGGTTGTCGACGCAGATGTCGTCGTCGATGGCGGCACCGAGGGAAGGGCAGGCGGGTCCGTCAAATTGGCGGGATAGACCGGATTCGTGGGGGTTCTGATCTGATTTTCTCTTTTTCTTTCCTTTTGTTCAGCTGGGAGGGAGAAAAAAAGAACAGGAACGGATGATGGGCACGACTCGAAGCGAGACTTAGGAGGGGAGTGATGCATGAGTACAGGAAATTATCTTTTGTCTTGGGCAATGACAAATCATCCATTTGCAAGTACACGGATTGACGTTGCAGTCTTGCTGACGAGAATCAAATGCTTGAAAGACACTGAAAGAGGAGGAGGATGAGGGGCAGGGAATTAATCAGCTTCGGGTTCTCGCGCCTCGTGCACACGACTTCAAAAGACTTTGTTTTACACACCTGTTCTACTAGTACTTTGTCGGTCAATGTATCCCTCCGACAAGTTACGTAGTTGGGTACCTGTTAATGATATTGTGTAATGAAGTTAGATACTATTGGTCGTCCAAGCGCACATTTACGCTGTACAATACATGCTTGCTTTGAACTGCTTTTGCCATCGCTTCAAACATTGTTCCTTCTTCAAGCATCATAGAGGGATATGACCCTTTCAAGCCATCCTTAACCACCACTACCTACCCTACAAGAAGCATCAGCTCATGATATTCCCACCTCTACATAACCAAACACCCCGACTCCTTCTTTGTTTTCTTCTTCTTCCACTCTATCCTCTCCTCAACCCTCACCACCACAGCCGGCTCACATACAGGCCAGGGTAGTAAACACGCACAATTTGGAACCACCAACGGCATGTGCACTCTCGTAGTCAAGTTCACCCCAGTGCCTCCGCAGACACAATTTGGATTCCCGCCATAACCCACCAAATACCCCTGTCCTCCTCCGGTGAAGATGTCCCGAATGGCCTGCTGCATCTTCCAGCGGGTGTGGTACCTGCTACTGCCACTGCAGTTCATGTATGCATTCGTAGTAAAAATACCTTCTAAACATGAATTCAATCCGTCGTCGCATGCAGGGCGACAGAGGAAGTACTGAACTACGTCGCTGTAGGGCGGTCCGGTTTTGATGGGCGGGCGGGAGGTGAAGGGGAAGGGTTCCGTTGGGACTGTTTTTTTTTTTTTTTTTTTTTTTTTTCTCGTTCTGGTCAGGTTATCATGTCATGTTATGTCAAAAACAATCACCTCCATATCATCGCATTGAGCCTGTCAAGTTAAAGCAATGATCCTTGTGCAGTAAATGCGATGGGGGAAGGAGGAGGAGGAGGAGGACGGAGGACTGTGTGAACAAACCCGAACTGGGGGGGGGGAGGGGGGCGACTTGAAGAAGAAAAAAAAGAAAAAAAAAAAAAGAAAAAGAAAACGAACCATAAACCCTCCACAACAACCAATCAACCAACCAACAAAAATAATCGACGCTCATGTACACCAACTCTGCATCATGAACGATATTGCTCCAAATCGCCCAGAGAACTACGCTCGTGGCGTCGCTTATGAGTTGGCTGTAGCCGTGACGATGGAGAAGCGAAGGATCGAGCTGTTCGCAGCGGGAGAGAACGAAACGGTGGCGTTGGAAAGCTTCGGGGCTGGGTGTTACGTAGTAGTATGAGAAGGGGCGGATGCAGCAGGCGCAATTTTGTTGCTGCTGCTGTTGTTGTTGTTGTTGTTGTTGTTGTTGTAGGTCGTAGTGATTAGATGATGTTATTGAGGTTGATGTTGAGGTTGCTGTTGCTTCTGGTTGCCAATCTGCTGGCCAGATGTAGGTGGCGTACCGGATTCGGTCTGGGGGGTAGCGGCGGGTTCCTGGCATGTTTGTGTTCTGGTCGTTGAGCTTTGAAAAGAATCAAAAGTTGGTGAATGATGTTATCGAGTTGATGTTATTGCAAGTGGAGGATGGATGAATTCCCGAGCTGGATACACCAAGCTCAGATACTGGGGTGGCATCTTGAACCAAGATCAGGGTAGGAATACGATGATCAGCTGTGGTCCGGTTCTTCAGGCGACTGTTATACTTCCACCGACGGTCGCCTTCAATGATTTATCCCGAGTTCAATACTACCACGGCATGTCAAACACTGTAATGCCATACCTACCTAAGCCACAGATATGAGTTGGGGAAGTAACCTCATGTGCGACGAGGAGTCACGACGGGGACAGAGATGCTTGGCTATTCAGTGGAAGTGTTGAAACCATGCGGCTCAACCTTAAATAGGCACAAAGGCGAGGCATACTCCAGTCACACAGAGGTCACAGAGTGCACAGAAATCGAGAGAAAGACAGCTTGTGAAATAAAAAAAAATAAAAAACATACAACACCAGGGATTCGCTGGTCGTCACCGACCCAACTACTAGTCTGGCCCTCACTGGCTTATCTATGGGAGAGCGGACGGGATCCCGAGTTTTCCAGTGGGTATGGTCGTATGTGCTTGCTAGTAATCCAAATTTGGTTTATGATTCGAGGTACGTGCAAATGAGGGAGGGAATGTTGAGGTGTGTTCTTACAACAACTCCCCTTTCCAAGATTGTGACGAACAGCAGAGCCCCCCCGAGAGCCGGACACTATTGCGAAACCAAGCAGCATTCCGTTACCGCTTCCGTGCTACCTTGGCACCAAACATGTTCTTCACATGTGGTTCCTTCGACAAATGCTGCGGTGGGCTCACTTGTGAAGCAGTGTGTGTCCTCTCGCTTGAGAGACCATGATCAATGTCGCCTAGTAGAGGAACTTAACCCTCTAGCCGGATTGTTCGTACATGTGTCACTCTTCAAGATGTTGGCAAACCGGTGAGGTAGATGCCATGTGGTGCTTGAGAGTGACACTGTCAGCGGTGTGTCATGTCCGTGTTGTTGGTCTGGAATTGTGTTGATACACTCGCCGTTATTGTTGAGTGTAGTCTGGTCTGGTCCTTCTAGTGACACATCGTTGCCGAAGTGTTTGCTGGCACTGATGTTGCCCTGTCAAGCAGTCTTCCAGAAAAGGCCGATAGCAGGGCTGCCAGGGCAGCAGAGCCATGCGGCTCGTCGCAGGCTCGATGTTGTACGGCGATGGCATAATGGCACAAACGAGACACTTGTGAATAACAAACATGAACGGATGCCTGGGTGACTGTTTTAGTGGCACCATTGCGCCACGTCTCCGTCTTGGTCACAGGGCAGCACATTCCAATACGGTTTGGTTTGATCCTCTGTCATGTTTCGATATCGGGTATTGTTGGAAGTCCGTGCCCTGGGCCGCCATTCACTGGCCTTGCCCATTCACTGGCACTCCCTCCAGGTATTTTAGGCTGCCCTGCTTTCCGTTTCTCCTCTTCCGTTAGACAACTCCAATACATCCATCTTTTCGTTGTCGCTTCCTTTCCCCCCCCCGATAGGTATGCATGAGTCAGGTACCTCATATTAATGGCGACTGAAAGCCTGGCACGATTTCGGCTCTTGGAGGCTGGCTGCATGGGTTCAAGAGGCTCGGTCTGTGGGATCCCGTTCTTGGACATACATTCGACTTCTTACCTTTCCCATATTCGAGGCGCACTCATGGTGCACAACAACCTGGATTGCGATTCAGCCGTCTGGTTGAAAGGGCGTACTTGGGAGATGGTGATGGAGACGGTGACTTACAGGTAGAATTGGGTCCATCAACCAGCGCAAATTGCATGAAGCCCGTGAGTCCTTTTGCTGCTGCCTGCAGAAATCGAATTTCAATAGCTCTTTCCCGAAATGTTTGAGGTAGTGTGATTCCAGCCCGTTTTGTCATGATGAACAGCAGCCACGATCCAGTCATTCGGCGGTCTCCAAGGCGGTCTCCAACCTTAAACACACATACATATGCAATTAATAGTTAAGCATGTATCTATGTGTTCTATAATTGGCTGTTAGTAGCATATATGTAATGGAGATCGTACATCCGCTCGTTGCTATCTCAGCCTCAACTTGCCGTTACCCCGCCTTCATAGAGCAACCAAGGTCTCATCTCATCAGCACACAACATCCGAACAGCGCCATTGATTCTTCAGGACCTGAACACTCTCCGGGAGTCAAGATGCCTCCGACTTATACGACACCGTCGGGCGAGTTACACCTTTCAGAGAAGGCATTCAATCGTCTTTGCGAAAGATGCGACGGCATTTTCGAGAGTACCGCGTTTGCACATAAACGTGCCAGGAGGGCCCGTACCGATTATCTCACAGATGATGTGCCCTTTGGCACCTTGAAAGAATTATTGAACTCGGCGTCGAAGGGTGCCTGCCATTTTTGTTGTTCTTTGGCTGCTCGAGTTCTAGTGTCAGAAAGCGCCCACCTTCTCACAAGCCGAGAGATGAAGCCCGATAAGCAAGTTCACCCATCTCTACAACCTGTCGTGTCGCAAGGGGTGTTTTCAGGGATGGAAATAGAACCCGCCATCGACACATTAACTGCCGGGGGCGATAAAACTTTGTGGCTTTCTTGGACTATTTGGCCCAGCGAATACATGACTGCCGGTGAGGAGGCTGTTGATTTACGTCTCAATATTGTGGGTGAAGATGGTAAGCCCATCCCGCTTACCAGCTGGAAACAACATCAATTGCTTCTCCCTCAGGAAGAGGATGGTAAGCCGTTTTCCATATCTAGTGGGCATCCCTTAAGGTAGCTAACCTTACTAATGGTCTTCTTTCTTCAGTTTATCCATGTCGGGTTGATGGTTTCCCAAACAGTCTTTACACGGGGAGCGAAGCAAGCTTGAATCAAGCGCTCCAGTGGGTTGAGAACTGTGTGTCCAACCATCCATCATGCAATAAGGCTGTCCATGAGAACTTACAGCGGAGACACCCCGCCCGATTTCTTGATGTAGGATGTACGGGCAGCTGTACGGTTAAGCTGACCGAAACTACCGGAATGGACTTTCAGAAGCAAAGATACATGACACTAAGTCATTGCTGGGGCGACTCAGTACCGGCTCGTCTTCTAGTGGACAACTATGACTCCCGATTGAAGGGGTTTGCGCTCGATGAGTTACCAAAGACATTTCAGGAGGCAATTCGGCTAACTCAGAGGCTGGACGTACAATTCTTGTGGATTGATTGCCTGTGTATCATTCAGGACTCACTTGACGATTGGGAAGCAGAATCCGCCAAGATGCGTTCTGTTTACCAAAACACGTACCTCAATCTAGCCGCCGGTGCGTCGCCACACTCCAGCGGGGGCTTTTTTTTCCCAAGGCACCCTCTATCATTCGTGCCCTGGTCCATAAGGCTAGCTACGCACAGCACCTTAGTACAAAGCTATGATATTAACGATACTCCTATTCTATATACAAGAGGCTGGGTTCTCCAGGAGCAAATCTTGCCGCGCCGTACCCTTATCTCTGGGCGACAGGAGCTTTACTGGGAATGCTCCATGGTGAGGGCAAGCGAATGCTTTCCAGATTCAGTCCCCCAGGATCTTTCAAAGAGCGGGGTGTTTACTCCTCCTCCGATGAAGTTGTTTCAATGTGAGCGACTTCTTGACGCCAAACGACTGGAGGCCTGGGCATGTTTGGCCAGTGACTACTCCGGTAGGAAACTTACCAAGCAGTCAGACAAACTTGTGGCCATTTCGGGTCTCGCAGAGCATTTGAGCAATGAATGGGATGGCGTTACCTACCTTGCCGGCCTATGGTCATACCGTCTTCGAGAGAACCTTTTGTGGAAATGCCTGGATGTTGGACAGAGCAAAGGACGAAATGATGATATAGCCCCTTCCTGGTCTTGGGCATCATTGAGCGCTAAATGTGAATTACCTTCACCAAGGACCTACCAGAGGATGGACATCCTTGCTGAAGTCTTAGAGGCTATGGTCTCTCCAGTCACGCCAACACACTTATTCGGCCAAATACAGAAGGGCGGAATGGTCAGGATTAGAGGCCCATTGTTACGAGCTAGTTGTACCGCGAGAAGCACGACTTTGCAACCAGAGTGGAGATACGATCTGAGTGAGGAAAGGGATGGTATGTGGACTTCACTACCAGATCTGAAACTATCGTGGGATGAACAAGAATCCCACGGCTCAGCGATCATTTACCTTGCGCCCCTCCAAGTTAATTTCCTAGGTTCCCTCCATTTCCACCTTGAGGGACTATTCTTAAGACCCGCGTTGACATCTCCGGCACGGAAAGGAACATTCGAAAGACTGGGAGTGTTCGAAATGGTCCAAGAGATTTGTTATCTCCCAAACCAGTACCTCTCTGGTCCATTTCTCGATAGCACCCTGTACAAGGCATTGATGTTCGACAGCCCCGGTCGACATTTTCATCCACTGACTGGTGTTTCCGAGGAAGAGAGGATGAACTTACTGAAATCTGATCCGTATCTGAACGGCCCACTGAATACAACCAAGCTGAAACACCGTTACTCTCCTGAGCTTGAGCCTGAGCAGTACCCCAACCTTGCAAAGTTCCTCGACTGCTTGGAAATAGCAGCACAATACAATCGGGAGAGCGACAGCCCGGACGAGAACTTGGGACAGGATGAAGGCAATGGGTTCTACATATACGAGATAGTGTAAGGCTACCTCTAACTAGACTGACATCCAGTTGGAGTGGAGGAGAGAGAGAAAGGATGAAGTCTGTTACGGGGCAACCAGACCGGGCAGGCCGCACAGAAATGAGAGGAAACGTCACTCTGCCTTCTCCCTATTTCCGCTCCTTCCAACTTCATGGATTTCTGTCCTCCTGGTACCTGTACTGTTGCCTTCGAGGTCTTGTCTCGGTCCGTGCCCCCCACAATATTCTATCGGTTCATAAATCCTTCCTCAACTTTCCCCTCGTCCTTCTCTCAAAATTTCTTCTCTCAAACGACTACCTTCTCTCCTCAGCAATAACTGGGGTCGTTTCGTGCTTGGCTCTGCAAACATAACTCGAAGAAGAACGCAGCGGTACCAAAATGAACGCCAACCACCACCACCACCACCACCACCACCACCACAACAACCGCAACCACAACCACAACCGCCTCCGTGACCGCAGGCGCAATCGTGGTCGCGTTGCGAGCCCCGCGAGCGTGGAGGACCGCGCTCCTCCCCTTGGTAAGTACCTGAGCAATCCATCCATCTCACTCAACGACAACAAGAACTACCTCTGACTCATCTTTCTTCCACAGCTGCCGGTCATCACATTGAGAGCTGGGGTCTCGTGGACCAGGAAAACCGCGCTCCTGCTCCGGGTAAGTAGTGGAAGATCAATTTTCCTCAATCATCGAGAAGAAGAGCTAACTCAGCTTGCCTTCACAGCTGACATCCGCCACGTTGAGGGCTGGGGTCAAGTCGACTTCGGAAACCGCGTTCTTGGTAAGCAATAAACGATTCATCCTTCTCACCCATAGTGAATGAGAACTAACTAAATTTGTCTCCAAAGCTGAAGCTCGCCCCGTGCCCGAAGACGATTACGGTATGCAAACCACAAACATGAGCCATCTCCTCAACGTCATTCCCGCAGCAGAACAACTAACTCAGGTCTTTCTACCATAGACGCTGCCACATTCAACCAGTCCATCAATGCGGAAGGTGAAGCGGACATCATCCGCCCGCTCATCACCTTGGCCGTCAGGCAGATGGGTCCCTCGTGCTTGTTTTGGGTCAGCGCCGGCCCGATGCAGGCAGCCGACGACCCAACCTGGATCGCCGACCACCACGTCAAGGCCCATGGCGACCAGGCCCTGGCGAGGATGACGGTCGCCCTGGCCGTCCACAAATGGGGCCGGGGTGCCCAGATTTCGCTCACGGCTCGCCCTCCTTCTCCTCCTCCTCCGCCGGACGTCATCCCGCCCCCGCCGGCCCCGCAGCATCACTACGCGGCTCCCCCCGTGGCTCCTGGCGTGGCTCCTCATCAAGGGGAGTACTATTACCCGCCTCCTCGAGAAGAGTACTATCCGCCTCCTCAAGAGGAGTATTACCCGCCTCCTCACCACTACCCGGCGGATCCTTACGCGCCTGCGCCTTACCAGCCGTAAGCGGCGGGCCAGGCTGCTCGCCCTGCTGCACTCCCGAGTCCCGGATGGACACCCCTTTTGCAACGCTTGGGGCTTGTTCTTGAAGCTCCATGTGTGCCGTGAGACCACTTAGTTTGAAGAGAACAAGTCACAAGCGTTGCGGAGGGGTTTGTCAACCTTCGAAGATCGAACAATTGGGGTAGCGTCTACGAGAACAAGCGTGTTGTCTGGGTACAGGGGCATTTTCGTGTACATATTCGGGTGTTTTGGGAATAGCAGTGGGTCTTCGTGGGATATGGCCAGGGGTGGATCGACCGGTCGGTTTGGGATAAGACGAAATGTCTGTCCGGCACGCGTTGTTGAGATACTGTCAGCGGGCTGAAAAAATGGTTTTGGAGGATGGTCGGAGCAGCGGGTGCTGCGTCGTCATGTAAAGCGAAGCTGGGATTGCGAAAAGCTACGACATCAGTGCGGCGACAAAAAGGGAAGGACAGACTGAGGTGGAGATCACTGGTCATCAGACACATCACTCGGCGTTCTAACAGCGATTCCTTCGAATTTTCTATATTTTTGTCTCATTATTGTCAATGTCTAGAGAGAGATAACTCAAGATTCACGTCACCTGGGAATAACACTTGATGATCACCCTAGAGGTAGTGCCGTCTCGTAATAGTTATCATTGAACTTGCCCTCAACTTTGAAGTTTTGACACCATTCCCTACGTCACCGACTGTCCCCTTATGTGACTTCACACCCCAAATGCTCTTTTACAGTTCCGGCCGCGTCTTCTGTATAAGTACCTGTAGGTAGGTGACGAGGACAAATGGCGCAGATTCTCGTTTGCTTGGCCCAAATGACTGAACTGGAGGAAGGTACCATAACTTCGTAATATCTACAGCGTCGGTTCCGGGAAGGAAACATCGTGGACCTTGTCCTTGCAATGCGGTCATGGAACCTTGAAGAATTTCAGGAAGCAGAAGGAATGATTTCGCCAACCTGCCTGGTGTGGTTTGAGAACACCTCTTCTCAGCTTTCAACTTCAGCAATGTCGGTATTCTAGATTCTTTGACTCCCTCTGGCCTCTGCTAGTTACCTCACTTCATTCAATTACCAGGTAGAGGCCTGTCCCTTCCTCGATTTTCCTCGATTGTAATCTAAGGCCCATCATGGCGTGATTGGACAAGATAGAGGCGTACCTTATCTAGAGGTAGGTACCTCCACAGGGGCATGGTCGGTGGAAATTATGAGAAGTCAAATGCAAGGGAGAGATCACAGCCACGAGGTGGAAGGAAGGCTCGATTCCAACGCGGGCGCGCTAGACCGAGATGGGAATATCGGGCAAACATGAGGGGGGTTGCCTCATGACTGGTTCTAAACATTGTTACTAGCTCAGGGGAATCTGAATAAGATCGCGTCTCTCCCTCCCACTTGTCCATATAATCGTCGCGTTCATGACTCCTTCACACATAATTGTCACTTCTCAATCAAACGTATCCCCAAACATCATCCTGCCCCAGTCTTGACGGGTGTCTACGAGGCATACCTCAGTTCGGTTCATCTTCTTTCAGGGTAAAGACCTTGGGTATACCCAGACATCTGCCTGTCGCCGTCTTAGTTTGGTTTGTGCTCACGTCTTTGCTTGCTCTACAACTTGGCTGGCTAACTCGAGGATATGGAGTGATCACAGACACCACCCAACAAAACTTCGGCTCTTATCTGATTCAACTCCCTCTTGCCGATACTGAAGTGAGACTCAGAAAAACTTTGTTGGTAACCCGGAGCCGATAGAGCATGCGTACATGTTTGACTTCTCGTCAACCTCACTAACCCCGTCCACAGGCCAAGTTCCCCTATTTCCGCGTGTCCTTTTATCCTGTTCGACGTGTTACCCGTCGAGATTCGCTTATCGACACGTTGAGATTAAAACCCGATCAAGGAGCGGACCGGCTTGTGCACAAACAGACTCGTGGCGCTTGTCAAGATTCCCTCGGAAGGGTTCTCGGCAGTAAGAAACTGGGATACCCGCCAGACATACGAATCTCGAGATTGCATCAAACGGCGATCTATATATAGTCTACGCATTTCTCAATCAGCCTCTTCGCCTCACTTTCTTCTCATTCATCGTCTGCGTGGTAGGCCATCTTTCAGCCGCACAAAAACGTCCTCTTTCGTCTTCAGCAAGCCGTGACAGCTTTGACAACAGGCGGAAGTCAACAAACCTCAACCTTGTCTCACCCATCAGGCCATTGAACCAGACACAAACATTTCGTCAAGGGTCTAGACTACATCACCAGGAACTCCTTCCAAAATGAATTCGCCAGCCGAGAACACCAGCGGCACAGACGCCGTTCATTCTGCTTCCAAACCACTACCTCTTCGCCCCACGGCGGCAACAGCAACCGCCGTAACCATCCCCGATAACAGCACCACCCACACCTCAGCTCCCCAGATCAACACCAAGTCGGGCGCCAGTATTTACAGCAAGCCCCTCATGCTGACCGCGTACGACAAGTATGTCCTCGGATTCAGCATGACCCATCTCTGGCGTTGTCCCTCGAAAACCATTCTCATTCCCCTTTTTCGACAGAACTTCCGTGCCGAGAAACACGTCGACATTGGCGTGGGCACGGGTTTTTTCATCGGTGACGCTTTGGCCGAGAGACTTGCTAAGGACGAGGATCTCATGCCACTGGAGAGGGACCAGGATAGTAAACTGGCCCAGCCCAAGATCGAGATTACCTTGATGGATCTGAATGCAGTGGCGCTCGAAAAAGCAAAGGGGAGGATCATGGGGGTTGTTAACAAGCACAAGGCGAGAGCAGCAGGTGGCCACGGCAACGTCCTCGGCAGCGGCAAGCAATCGGGACATGGACATGGCGCAAACGTGGCATCTACTAGTCAAACTGTCAACGTAACCACCATCCAAGCCGACGTTTTGGATGAGTCACTCGTCCTCCTGCCCAAAGGCAGTAAGCTTTCCGGACTCTCGAAACAGTTCAAGTCGGTCAGCATGTTCAATTTGCTGCACTGTCTACCCGCTGCTCCCGAGGCGCAAGGGGGACAGGAAATCAAAAACCGCGCCTTCAAACTTGCCGCCGCGTGTCTAGCGGATGATGGTGTCCTGGTTGGTTGCACGATTCTGGGACGGAAGTACATTGCAAATCCGTCTCGTCCGAGTTCGTCCGGCGGCACGGGATCGGGATCGGGAGTGGTGAAGAAGGGCGTGGGACGTACAAGTAAGAAACCTTCTATCTTGAAGAGGGGCATGACGTGGACGGTAATGAAGTGGTACAATGCAACGGGAGTGTTTGGCAACTGGGCGGATGAGAGGGAGGGGTTCGAGAAGGGACTGCGGGAGAATTTCGAGGTGGTGGAGACGCATGTGGAGGGTTGTATGCTGCTTTTCAATGCGGCGAGGCCGAAGAGGAGTGAGCTGTGAACTTCATCGATGTTTGGGGGTTCAAAAGATACGACTTGATGCGTGGAAGGGACTGTACACCATGATGGTAACTGGAGCACATAAAATGCTCTGTGTACGTGGAAGTGTCCTGGCGTTTGCCTCTACGAGGTCCCGGTCAGTACACAGTTGGCCAAAAGTCAGGGGTCAGTTGAATGGATGCTTTCACAGTCCTGAGGAAACTTCGATGGATTTTTGCTTCTTATTGCTTCTTCAAGACACGTTGCTTCAAAAAGGAGCCAGGAGTGTACAAGCTGGTAACACAATGTCAAAGCGACAAAGACTCGAGTTATTCGGAAACAGGCGTCAAGGATCACGTACTGCGAAATTTGAGAAACCCGTATTGGTTTGGAGGAAGGGTTTGCCATAGAGGTAGCTTGGTTCAGCATACCTCTACAGATACCGAGAGGAAGTCACCACTAATGAATCATGTTTGAGATCTCTTGCCAGTCCTTGACTGTGTTCTATTCTATCTCGAAGCTCATGGATGTACTGAAAACAAACGTGATAGTTCAACACCTTTGACCCTGCAACCGCCATTCCAAATAACTACCTAACTTGATTCGAGTCCTTTCAGCCAGGCATTTACCTCTACTTCGCCTTAGCCCCCAACAACTTCAAATGATGCATATAATCCCAATCCAGCCCCAACAGCTCATGAATCCACCTGAGAATAACCACAAAACTCTCCGGCTCGCCCATATGCCACTCCTCCCTCACGATCCTCGCCTCCTTGGGCCTTCCCCATTTCAGCGCCAGCGCCAGATCCTCCACGGGGAAGATGCGATCCCACTCGCCATTCACCACCAAACACCTACAGCACTGCCCCATAAGCGTGCCATCCAGCAAAAGCGAGAATTTCAATTGTCCTTCTTTTTTGAACTGTTCCACTCCATCACTGCCATACCCAAATTTATACGCCAATGTATCCGCCAAATCAAAGGGATACTCCAAATTATTCACTTTCTCCAACCACGCTTCATCAAACATGTGATGACACCCGCCTCCCAGACTGATGCTCCCCAGTAGTCGATCATGGTGCGTATGCGCCGCGCGCAAGGCGTAGTATCCCCCTGTGGAAAAGCCCCAGACTATAATCTTGGTGCTATCGATTTCCTCATGCTTCTCCTTTGCAACAAAGTCGAGAACAGACGACCACTGTCTATCAGCACTCTCCGGATCACTAGCCAAAGCAGGCGAGTCGCCCGTCCCTGGGATTTCGACGACCAGCGTGGCGACCCCTTTATCAAGGAAGCCGCGTTGCCAGACGGCCAGCTCGGTGCGGTAGCCGTCTAGGCCTGTCATTATGATCACCAGGGGGTAGCCAGAGAAAGAGGAGGAAGAAGAGGAGGAAGAGGAAGAAGGGGAGGCAGAGGAAGGGGGGATGAGTAAGTTAACGGGGATGAAGGAGTTTTGTTCGCTGGAGCTTGCCAAGGCGTGCGTGTGCGGGATGAGGACTTCGTGGATGGGGTGTTCCATTAGCTTGGCTCCGGCGTAGAACATTTCTTTACCCTTTTTCCAGGCTTGGTGCTGCAGAGGGGAGCGAGGGGCGGGGAAGCGGGCGATGCGGTAGACTGCTGATGCTCGGCTAGAGGGGTTCTATCATGTTACTTTATGTTTTCTTTTTGTTTCGATGTGCACCATGTGATGAGAGGGCCTGGGAGGGAGCTTGTCCTGGGATGATAGGTGAAGGTAGAGGTGGAGGGAGGTACTGACAGGTAATACTCTCGAGCTTTGTCCGTGTCTCCTTCCTGCTGAGCAACAGCTGCGGTCTGGCCGAGCTTCTCAGCGGTTCCGAAGAAACAACTGGCGTACTCGTCCCAGTTGTAGGGCTCTTTGAGGCCTTTGGCAATGATGTGCTCGGCGATGGGCTGGAAGTCTTCGAGGGAGCCGAACATGAAGGGGTAGATGCCCTTGGAGCACTTTTTGGGTATCTGTCAGTAATCTACTGCGCAGTAGATAGAGGTACCTGAGACGAAATTTCGAAAAGATGGAATTTACCGGATCCTTCCACTTGGTCTCCCACAGCTGCTCAAACGAGTCATGATGGGGCATCCTGTCGTTCATATGCCACCCGTTGGGGTACCGGGGGTCATTGGGGCTTTTGCCCATGTTGGATGCGTGTGGCATGGTTTTCGAACGACCGAAAATTGGATTGCCATGAAATGAGTTGGATGAGGAGAACATTGTGTGCAGGTTTTGGCCGTTCTGTTGGTGTTCAAATACCGCGGACCGGCGTTGGGGAAAGTCCGAAAGTCAAGTCAAAGTGGCTTCCAAGTTCTTTAGTTGCATTAGAATCCTCTCATGAACATGCGGGCTGCAATGGATGCTTCTTTCTTTGGCTTCTACATATCTCCAGCTGCCGAGAAACCGGTAGTAGGGTAACCGCATCAAGGTTGGACGACCTACAGGCAGGAAGGCCCATTGTACCTGCCTCTAGAAAAGGCAACCCCCGGTCACAGGAAAGAGGCCATCAACAGTCAGAGCAGGAAGCCATCTAGCGTGAAGGAAATAGGCCAGTGATAGCGAGAGACGGAAGGTATGCCATCCTTTCCTCTCCAGAACCAACTAAGCATTCCACTCCAATGATTTCGCGATCACAGAGGGTTGACCAGACGTCAAAGCTTCCGACTTCCACAACAGGAATCCCGTGACTGGAATTCTTCGTGGTCGAGAGTAGGTAAACGAGATTGGGGATCCGGGGGAGATTAAGGACTACCTCTGTGTTGGTGTCGTATGTTTTGTAGATACCGGCATCATCCGCATCGATCGGGTACAGAGGCATTTCCAGGCCTTGGTTCGAACGGTTCAAATCATTCTGGAAAACAGGGCAAAGAACGGATCTACATCAATCCTACGTTATCTCCCAGGGATCAAATGAGTGTTGTAGATATAGACATGGATTGATTAAGCGTCACCAAGTCATGTGCTAACAACATGTGGGATTTTGGCCCTGGTCAGGCAGGGGCGCAGCGAAGCCCCTTTTAGTGTACACTAACTACACTACAACACTACTTACTACCTTGACAGAGCAGGGTGCCGCCTTGTGTCAAGAGATTGACTTTAGACACTGTAGGAGTATGAAAAGACGGTCTCGCGATTCGGCTTCAAGCCCGAATAAAAATTATATAAAAAAAGGGAAATGTCTCAAAGTAATGGCACCTGCATTTCGTAAGCCTCAACCGTCTTTTCATCTCCAGACATATCGAACCACATAGGGTTTGGCGTTGGCGATCATGATCACCGCTGAACAAGTATCTTCCTTACCTTCCATATTCTTAGCACCTACTTAACATTCCGGGTGAGATGCGCTAAAATCGGTCCCTTTAGTGTACACTAACTAACTTTGCTCTTTTGCGGATGGACCCCACTGAAGGTCTGGTTAGCGCCAATGCCCATGATCCCACCGACTGCCGTAAGAAGCTGACGACAGCATTCTGCCCATTTCTTCATTGCAGTCGTGTAACCTAAGTAAGTAACGGATAGTGATTACCTCGTGCCAACAGAATGAGCGGCACAGAGACGGAAGACATATGAAGATCTGCAGTGGAGAGAGCCAGCCATACTACATGGAATCCAACGGCTGAGGAAGGCGACTTGAAGGAACTATCAAAGTACTTCAGTTGGGGCTTACAATGATGAGATGACGGAGGATACCGAAGAACAAGTCGAAAGAAAAGAACAGAACAAGAGAGATTTCCCTTGATATCGGAAGACAAGTCCGGGTCATTTGTAGAGGGAAAAGCAGAGACCAACACGTCAACCACAGGGCTTGAAACGAAATAACCATCGGACTTTTTTTTGGGGTCGCACAGGGGTCGGGTCCCTTCCCCGCAGGTGTCAGTTGGCAGCCTGTGCCAGGTCCCTGTACCTTGCAGGACTAGTGTGCTAGGGATGATAAACAGTCCGGCAGGCAGGTGCCAAAAGCATAGAGAGACCTAGGTAGTGTCACCACCCAGAGTGTCACCTCACCTTTCCTATTCCCCATCCTTCCGTAGTGTAGACGGCAGGGCAGATCTTGTCCATTTCCACCATCCGGAACAAACATGCGCCAAACCTGACGATGGACGGCTTCCCACCAGGATGAGGGGGACACCAAGGGAGCATCCCCGACCCCGGCCCCGGTCCATCAAACTTCTCTTTCCTTTCTTCTTTCGCCGAACACTCATGTCGTACTCCTCCTACCCTTGCTGCCTTCAAATGTTGTTTGCTCCCCTGGCTTTTCCAAGAAGCTTCTATCCCTTCCATTTAACCTTTTGTCTTTTTTCTCTCCTTCATATTACACAAAGACGCTGTGTTATCGACTTGGATTATTCGACTGTTTGGACTACGTCATTTGAACTCGGCTACTTCGACAAAGACGAATCGAATTGACACGGATGGACGGGAAATAAGACATATTTCACCAACACACGCATATCGAATCAACGCCGGCTAAAAGGCAAATGGGAGCAAAGAGCCATGAAGGAAGAACCTGGCCCTTTGGTCATGGAGGTCACGGGAATCAGAATCCGAGGTTGAATCCACGAAACGGAGCATCAGACGGTGGTTGGGAGGGAGACAATGGAGGAAATCAGGATCACAACGGCGGCAACACCTGGACAACAGCCACAAACAGACCAGCACCGACTGCTCAGCAGACTGCGAATCCCACTGCAAACGGTCCCAACACAACACAAAGACAACAGACGAACTATCCGACACAAGCACCAATACCAGGGCAACCAACATATGCTCAAGGGGACAATGGCGGACAAAGAACACAACCGACTCAGCCTGACCGAGGGCAACCAGCTCATACGACTGTCTCGGATTCAACTCGTTCCATGACAGTCGTTCTTGGCGAGACGACGTTTGCAACCAGGTACACCGACTACGACACATTGGCAATCGACACGCATGCCCCCACTTTCTCATCGGGCCCTCTGCCGACATCAGGCGCCGGAAGTTACAACAACAACAACAACTTGAACTCGGCCTCAAATAACCAACAAGGCGGAAGCGCAAATGGGACGACCAATTACCAAAGTGCAGATCTGGATGGTGGGCTTGGAGGTGGTACTATAGCCGGTATCATCGGTAGGTTCTCTTCCCGTTTTCCATTTTACCATGCCAAGCTGTAGCTAACCCGTAATTTCCCCAGTCGGCGTTGTCCTTGTGCTCGTCATCTCCCTCGTAGCCCTCTTCTTCCATCGAAAACGCAAGCTCGCGCGCCGCGGCAACAACTCTCCTTACGGGAAACACCACCCAGAAGAAGCCAGCAGCTCTCTGCTCGATAATGGACTAGCCGCCACCGTTGGCGCCGGTGCTGCCGCTGTAGAAGCCAGGTCTGGTGGAGGACATGGACATGAACAAGCTGGAGATGCATCCTCCACGGTCCGCAACACACCTTCTGCTTCACAACAACAACCACCGTCAATGCAGCAGACAAACAACAACTCCCAATATCTCGTCCCAGCATCCTCCTCCTCCTCCTCCAGAACAGCACCTTACACTGCTCCTCGCCCTGCGCCTCCTCCACCGCCGTCCTCGTCCCATTCCAGCAACTTCAGCTTATCCATGATCACCCCTCCACCCACGCACATCAGCTCAGCTTTTGCTCCTGGCGCCGTCTCGCCTATTTCTACCGTCTCGCCAGCGGTAATGGGACCACCATCACCTTTGTTGTCAGATGAGGAAAAGGAGATCGGTACCCTCGGTCGTCGGCCTAGCGTCGAAAGCATCAGCACCTTCAGCGTGCACAGCGCCATGATGACGGCGTCGCAGATCAATTGGCCTATGCCCCCGAGCGTGGCGAGCACGAGTAGTCCGAGTGTGCCGCTGACCAAGACGCCGAGCAGGCCGGTGCCAGTGCCGGCGCCGCATTATGTCGATTTTGAGGAGCAGGGGAGGACGGTGGTGAGGATTAATCGGGAGAGTTTGACGGGGGGGATTGGAAAGGCGAGATGAATATGAAGGCAAACGGGGCAGTACTCGTCAGGTCTCACACGAAATCGACTGGACCGTGACTTGGTGGACTTGTAGTTGGTATGGGTAGTGAGTGAGTGAGTGAGTGAGTGAGTGGGAGGTAGTGCCTGACGACCTGTCATGATCTTTAATGTATATCACGCCTTCTTTTGTTTACACTTATGCGTGCACTCACTGATGTCTCAAGGAAAACTGTATGGTACTGTACATAGTAGGAGACTTTTTTTGGTCAAGATACACGAGCGTCGAGCACTGTCTTGTACATTGTATGTTTGGAATATACGTTGTAATTTCTTTTTTTGCTTCTTGGTCTATCAGACTCGTAGAACTAGGGGTGAATAGATTTGTCTGAAGACATCATATACCTAAAAACATGCAATATAGTTACTGATACCCCCTCCTCAAAACCCTCCCTTTATTCCGTCGCACCAAATCCCACACCATCTGCCCAAACAGCCCATTCGCCCACGAAAACCACTCCCTCGTCCATTTTCGGCCATCAAAACTATTCACGCTCTCATGAATCAGCCCCAACCCATCCGTGCTCCCCACCAACTCTTTGAGAACCGCATAGATCTCCTCGTCGTCCGAGCTCGTCATGATCCGCACGATACTTGCCATCGGCCACGCCATGCCCGGTCCTGCGTGCGGTCCGCCAACGGCGTTGATGACTGGCCCATGCATCATGTAGGGGTTGGTGTTGGTTCCTAGGATGTGAGTGCGGGTTCGTTGGTAGACCGGATCGGAGGAGGAATTGGAAGAGGAAGAAGAAGAAGAAGAAGAAAAAAAGTAGTCGAAGAGAGGGGCGGAGAGGAGCGAGGGGAGGTTGGCGTCGTCCATTAGAGAAAAAGAGCCGTAGCCGTCTATTTCGTAGGCGTAGATTTTTTCTTCTGTTTCAGTTGAGTTGAGGGTAGTAGGAAGAGAAATAATGGCGTGTTTCGAAATGGCCTCTCGGAGGGAGGTCGACAAAGAGGAGAGGGAGGTGGATAGATTTGCGGGGGGTACTTTCAGCCCGGAGGCAGGTTCAGAGGAAAAGGAACTAAGTGAGGAGACAATGGGAGCGACATCCCCAGCGTACTTGGCAAACATCATATTACTCGGTATCAAAAACTGAAAAATCGTCGAATCGTCACTGGGCCGGAACGCACTTCTTATCAGTCCGA